CCTTTAGAGGTCACCTCTTACTACAATTGAAAATTGAAATTTTATTACTCAAGTTGAATATATTTGGCCATGGGCCTACATGAGTACTTATACAGGTTTGAATCCCACTTTATTTAACTTAGCTTGGGACTCACTATGTCTACTTTCTTAAACTACTATCTTCCCGACTATTTCAAAAGCATTTTAGGAGACTAGACCCGTATAAAGCATCAAAATAATATTTTTGAACTCTTGGACAAAAATTAGGAAACTAGTTTTTTAAAGAAACCAAAAATTGGGAAACTAACTTAACATGTGAACCAAGGAAAGAAGAATCATCGTCATCGAAGCCTTTTACCAACTAATTGGATCGGCTATACATGAATCTTTGTCCGCCTTTTTACTCTATTAAGTACCATACCCTTAGTGAGGCCATAAGTCCCTATATTTTTTCTCACTACTTCCAACTATGTCCTTTTGGGCCTACCCCTTTCCCTTTTTGAGCCTTTCACTTGAACTAACTCGTACCTCCTAACAGGTGTTGTATTGGGTTGCGCCACATATGGCCAGTCCACCTAAGTCTATTTTCTCATATCTTATCTCCTATTGGTGTCACACCTAAATTTTTCTGAATGTATTCAGTTCGAACTCTATACCTTTTTGTCTTTTCACTCATCAATCTCAACATCCTCATCTCAGCTAGACTCATTCTATGAGTATGTTGTTTCTTGATCGCCCAATATTCCGTCCCTTAAAGTAAAGCTGGTCTCACAGCTGTCCCATAGAATTTACCCTTCAACTTTATTGGTATTGCGGCGATCACATAAAACTTTGGTTACACATCTCCACTTCCCCCACCCAGCTCTAATTCTATATGCAATATCTTCTCTCAATCTCTCAAGTTTCATGGATTATTGACCCAATATATCGAAAATACGCACTTTTTAGTATTTCTTGGCCGTCAAACTTGCATTCCATATATTTTGTATTAGTTCGGCTAATTTGTAACTTTTATATTCTAGAGCATCCCTTCAAAGTTCTAACTTTGTGTTGATGCCGTTTTGGGTTTCATTGATCAAAACTATGTCATTTGTGAACAACATGCACCACAATACTTCATCTTGTAGGTGTCTAGTTAAGTCATCTATAACTAAGGCAAAGAGGTATGGGCTCAATGTTGACGCTTGATGTAAACGTATTGTCATTGAAAACTCATTTGTTTCTCCACTAGTTGTTTGTACACTAGTTAGCGCTCCCTCGTACATATCTCTTATTAAGTTGATATAGTATCTTGAGACTCATTTCTTTTTCGACACCTACCAAATCAGATCTCTAGGTACTATATCTGGAGCTTTTTTTAGATCTATAAAAACCATGTAGAGGTCTTTTCCCTTTGCCCTAAACTTTTTAATCAGTTGTATAAGTAGGAAAATAGCTTCGATTGTTGGCTTTCCTGACATAAAACCGAATTGATTTTCTGATACTCATTTCATTCCTCACATGTTGCTCAATCACTCTCTCCTATAGCTTCATAATGTGTCTCATAAGTTTGATCCTACAATAGTTCGCATAATTTTGTATGTCTCCTTTGTTTTTGTAAATCGGCACCGCAATACTTTTTCTTTATTGGTCTTGTATTTTCTTTGTTGTCAACACCTTGTTGAACAACTTGGTTAGCTAGTCAATGCTATTCTCCGCTATGTACTTCCAAACCTCTATCGGAATACCATTTGTTCCTAAAGCCTTTCCCATCTTCTTTCTCTTCAAAGGTTCTCACTTCCGATATCCTAATCCTATGAATGTATCTATGACCTCCACCCTCATTTATGCCAACTGTTCCTTCTATCACTTTATTCCCATGGTGTTCTACATTTAATAATCTTTGAAAATAAACTTTCCACCATTTGTTGACCTCTTCATCCTTTACCAAAACCCTTTGGTCTTCACTCCAAATATATTTAATATGATTTCAATCCCTACACTTTTTCTCTCTTATTTGCTAATTTGAGGACATCCTTTTCACCTTTTCTTGTTCTCAATTCATTGTGTAGATTTACTATTTAAGCATTTTTCTAAGCCTTTTTATATTCTTCGAAGTTTTGATCATATTTCTATTACATTGCCAAGTTTTATAAAATAATCGTTTTCATTAATGGCCTTCTGAATCTCATCACTCCACCACTAAGTTTCCTTATCATAATTTCTGTTCCCCCTAGATTCTCTTAAAACTTTTTTTGCAACTTTCTTAATGCAGTCAACCATCTCATTCCATATAGCATTGATCTCATTTTAGAGTTCCATTTTCCTTCTTTAACTAATTTATCCCTAAATAAGTCTATTTTCTCATTGTTTTAAGGGTGTGGTTTGTATACAGCCAAGGCTCTAAACAATCAAATCAGAGCCCACCTTCAAATAGTGTCGAGAAATGTGGTTTCAATACTGAAAATCTTTGACTAGCCTTAAAATTTGTTTTCATCTTTAATTATAACATTTAAAGCTTCATATCGAACAGATCTATGAAAACTTGAATAAATTAAAAATCAAAGGTCCAAAAATGCGTTACAAGATGTACTATTTCCAAAACTTGAAATCCATTTTTTTCTCAAGTCCATGCATCTTGATGTCGAGATGATCAATTTGAAGATATTTGGGCATCAAAACAACCTCTTCTAGTGAATTTTTTGAGGTAGGCTCTAATTTGATTGTTTAGAGCCTAGGCTCTATATAAACTCTTCCTTTTTTTAAATCTACCACCTTGTAATTTCAACCCTTCTCTTCTGTCTTTATGCAGACATCTATAACCACGAGCCTATGTTGGGCAGTCAAACTCTCTCTTAGAATAACTTTACAATCTTCACATGATGGTCGATCTTTCTTCTTAACTAAAAAGAAGTCTATCTGGCTTTTATATGATCTATTTTTATAGGTTATTAAATGTTCATCTCACTCTTTGGAGTAAATATTTGTTATTACTAGGTCGTAAGCCATAGGAAAATCTAGAATAACCTCACCCATCTCATTTTATTCACCAAATCCATTCCCCCCACGTACCCCTTCATATCCTCTACTACCATTTCCTACATGTCCAGTTAAGTTCTTTTCTAAAGTGTTCTTTCCTCATTTAGTATGTCTTGCACTAATCTATCCATGTCCTCCCAAAATTTTCTTAATTCTATCTAGTCCTACTTGTGGTGCATAAGCACTAAATATATTAATTATCTCTTCCTCTACTACAAGTTTAATTAATAACAGTCTATCACCTACTCTCTTGACATTATGTACTTTATTTTTTAAATCTTTGGAAAAAGGCTACGATGATGATGATGATGGCAATCTCTTCCTCTACTGCAAGTTTAATTAATAAGAGTCTATCACCTACTCTCTTGATATTAAGTACTTTATTTTTTAAATCTTTGTCTACTATTATGCCTGCCATTTCTATTATTATCCTTTCCTGTGTATCAAAGTTTATACCCATCTATTTCCTTGGAATTTTCTCCTTTCCACATAGTTTCTTGTAGGCTAGTTATGTTTACTAGCCTTCATCTCATTATATCAATTAACTCCATACTCTTACTTGTAAGTGTTCCTACATTCCATGTGTTTAGGCAAATCCTATTTTCTTGGACTAGCTTCTTTATCTGCCCTCGTCCAGATTGTCATCGGAACCCAACCCTTGCCTATTTTTCATTGCAACCGGGTGGCACTGCGGCTCATCGTTCTGTAGAATGCCCTGGCTAACCCTTGCTCATTTCTCACTATACTGAGGTTCGCTTGCGGGGAATGTTCTATTATAAGCAAATAGCCTATATTCCATATTCATGAGAAGTTTTGGCAAAGTTTTACATTGGCTGCGTACTTAATACAATCCACCCCTTTTACCTAGGCTTGGGATGGGTTAAGGGAAGGTTTAAGGTCCTCACCCTTGAAAAACCACAAGGAAAAAAACAACGTACCAAGATTCTTTTAACTATATGATCTATGGAGCCCATAAGCTTCTAGAAGACTGATGTCATTAGAAGTCTCAATAACGAAAACAAAGACCTAATGCACTAGGGCTTAAAGGCTCAGTAATGGAAACAAAGAAAAAAACACCAAGGAATGTGAAGTTCATCACTGATCTTTTCAATAGGCTTTCAACTACGATTGAGGGCTGGAACATCCGAATTGCAAAAAACACCTCACCTGGAGGTATGGTACATAGATTTTGAAGAGAGAGAGAGGCATTTTCTTGTTGGATAAGATCTAAGAGGATTGAGGAGAGGGTTGTAAGTTGGGCTTAGAGAGAGAAAAAGGGATTCTATTGTTATGGATAAGGCTAGAGAGAAGAAGAGGGTTGTAAGCTGAGGTTAGAAAGTGAGGGGGATTGTGTTGTTGGGGAAAAGACGCTTCGAGAGAGCAATGGTTGTAATTTCTAACTTCACCAACGAAATCCCTCTTCTGTCTACCTAAGCAGCATGTGAAGTGTACACCAGCCATATGCCAAAGCCAACAGTTAATATCACCAACATAGTCAAAGTTGGACATGACTAGTTCATGCAGGAGCAGTCATAATAAGGCATGTTTTTCTTCTCTATGTGCCATGTAATGACTTGTGTGTATATACTTTTCTTCTCTATGTGCCATGTGTGTACTTGTGTATATGTGTAGCTCTGAGTGTATGTATATGTATATGTATATGTATGTGTACATATAGCCTGAGTTTTCTCTTTCTGGTAACCATGGACACTCGTTGGCTAATTGCGTGCATATATATATAGGAATATACTTATGTGTAATGTGTGTCTATATTTGTTTGCATGTGCACACTCATTTGAGTTCCGTCTAGTACTTGTGATCATAAGATCTCTACATTACTGCAGAATGTAAAAAAAGAAAATAATTTTCATCTTGTTCTACTGCTATGCCTGGGTGGTTGGTTACTATTGTGTGGGAGATGCCATCTAAGTTGAGATAGAGAGGGGGAGTTGTATAAAATTCGAGATGCTTTCTCACGTGCTGCTATGGTATTGGATCTGCAGGACAGCATTGAACCTGGGGTTGGCATGCCTAGTTCTCATCGTTGGAATCATGTCGTATATGGCAGTTCTTATGCGTGAGAAAGGAAGAGCAGATGAGAGGTTGGACCTTTTGCCACCCTTTGCTTTACCCACCATGGCTGTACTTGGACTCCTCTCCTTTCTTTTGTAAGGAACAACCTAACCATTCTTGCTCCTCCCCCTCAACCACAAGCTTCTCCCTACTCTAGTTTTGAGCAAATTCTCAAACTCTTCATTGGTTTTACAGGTTTTCTGTTGCCCTATGGCCCATTTGGAGTTTCTTGACCCTGCCTCTACTGGTAAGCTCTATGTTAACTCGTTATGTAGCTTTGTCATTCAGCATATGTTGCTGAGAGAGAGAGAGTTAAATAGTAAATGAAAATCTAACCAGATATGTTTTTTCGAATGCTTTTTTCTTTTTTCAGTTGACTCTATATGTGGCCTTAACAGTGGTTTCGCCATACACTCCTTTCGCAAACCTCAGATCGCATGCTGAAATGATGCGTGCTGATTAGTTTTGCTGGAGAGCATATGACTTTTTTGGGTTGAAGTGTTGATATCATATTGGAAGTCAAGATAGTTTCAGTTGACAAGAAGCTTCTACGGAGGGGTCGAGGTGTCTGTTTTTTGATGAAGAGTGGGTTTTGAGTTGTCAATTGAATCGATGCATTTGTTTGGCTTCATGAAGTTGCTCATGAAGACAGCGAGTGGTTTATTCAGATTGCAGTTTGGATCGGAGTCTGATGAAGCACAATTTTGCATTGGTTAGGGGGGAGAGAAAGAAGACATGGAGAAAAGGAAGGGGGGGGGGGGGTGGAGGAGGAGAGAGGAGAGAGAGTGAGAGAGGAGACGAGAGACGTGTACGTGAAGTAGACCCGTCGTACGTCGCACGTCAGCGT